TTTAATCAGAAATGTACGGGCTACAATCATGCAGTATTAAGAAAAGGTTTTAGTTATTTTTTAAAGTTTCTGAAAAACTGGTTTTCCAGAAAACCGATCTTTGAAGACCTAGCAGCAGCAGTCATGGTGATATTCGGAATCAGCATGGTTGATTATCTATAGTCAATTAGGTTTTGACTGGAAAACGATTTATAAGTTGGCGGACCTCCCTCGTCAGTTTCTTCGTTTTCATGCCTTCTATTCTCTTTGGTTTCTATCATTCAGGAATTGCTTATCATAAAAATTCAACAATTATTATTTGTGATACAGAAGGTCTAATGTCACTTGAAGAATCCGGTTCACTATTTGATAATCAAATGATAACAATGGCCATATTGTCATCAAATTTAGTTATTATTAATCATAAAGGTGAATTAAGTTCAAATGTAGAAGATCTCATTGGAATGTCATTATACGCTAAAATTCAAATTGGTGGTACACCAGTAAAATCAAAATTATTATTTGTTCTACGCGATCAAACAAATCGTGATTTAAAAATATTTTCACAACAATTAAATAAATTAAAAGATAATTTACAAGAAAAAGGAAGTTTTTTAAAAGTAAGTATTGATGAAGAATTAGATATTAAATCGGACAATATTCGTTTATTACCAAGTGCATTTACAGAAGATATAAATCCAGATTATAATATTGAACAACGATGGCGTACACAAACATTTCCAATAGAAATAAATAATTTACGTACAAATATATTTCTAAGTTTAGATGAACAAATACAACAACAAAGTCAACAAAAATGTTTATGTAAAACTTTTGATTATTTATATAATAAATTAACAAATAATTGGAAATTAATTGATGATTTAGGTGGAAGTTTATTAGAATGTAAAAATTTGTATGCATTAAGTATACAAAATGATTTAAAAGAAATTGCACAAAAAATTATTGCGGAAAAATCAAAAACATTATATAGTCAATGTAAAGATTTATTAGATAATGAATTACAAAAACAAAATGAATTATCACCTGTTATTTATATGAAAAGTACTATTGACTATGGTACAAAATTATTAAATGATCAAACAACAATATTTGTTCATGAAGCTATCGATGAATTTATTTCACAAACCCAACAATCTTATTATGCACGTACACGAACTAGTGTACAAAATAATATTGAACCATCTATAAGAAATACACAAAATTATTTGCAACAATTATTCGTAGAAGATGTTTATCGAGCTATACAGAAAAAGATGGCCATAGATTTTGAAAAAAAATTATCAAAATTAGCTAAACGATTAACAAAAATAAAAGATAATGAACAACAAAGTAACGTAGAGTTTTTGTTAGATTATCAAAAAGAGATACAATTTCTAGTACACACATGTTTTTTGTCTAGATCAGGCATGGGCGAATCCGAGTCCAGACTGGAAGATTTTTTGGTGGACTCGGACTTGGACTCGGACTGGAGATTTTTTAAAGGACTCGAACTCGGACTTGAGCTTTTGTATTTCGAGTCCGATCTATTCAACTTTCAACACAAATGAGCAGAGAAAAATGAAAAGCGAAATAATAACACCTTCTGTTTCACAAGAAATTGAAAATTTTGTTCAGAAAATAGA